TAAAGAGAGACGAATCGAACGAATGGGAAGATAACGATGATGTAGGTGCGGTTGCAAGTGGTGAAGAAGAAGCCGAGCTCGGTAGAATGACGATGATGTCGGTACGTTAAGAGGCTTTGTAAATATACTACAATATTGTTTAATACTGAAATAGTACAATTTTTATTTTATTTAATAGCTAATTTCCTCGTTGGCTCCTATTGTGGGATCCGAGAAATGTACTCGCCTATTTGTACCAGAAATGGATAAAATGGCAGAAGAACATGTGTTTTATGTACGAAAGGTGAGTGTTCATTATATTTGTTCCTTACACTATTTCCATCTATGCAATTATTTGATAAATGACTTGTCTCGTTAGGAAGCGGCCTTGGCAGTTGGGAGTTTGGCTAGTGTATTGCCTCTAGACATAATAACTTCAAAATTGGTAAATAGTAAGCCATTTGTTTTATGCACCCGTTTGAAGAATACCATGTTGATATTGAGTAAATAATGATATCATAAGTTGCCCATATACGACCATTTCTCCACTGATCCTATTTGGCACGTTCGTCGTTCCTGCTGTCTTGTCCTTCCCACAATATGTTCCCGTTTGCCAGAAGAAATGAAATCCGACCGAGCAGTCAAAGGCATTGACCTATTTGCAGGAGATGTTAGTCGTAGTGTTCGTTCCGCAGCCGGCGAAATTATTGGGGAGCTAATAGCTATTTTTAAACCTGATGGAAAAGTTCCTGAAAGCTTGGTGCAACATTTTCTGAGTCTAGGCCCTGTAAGAGAAGGCATTCACAGTAATGAATTTATGGGTGCTTTTAACGGAGGGCACAGGGACTCTGAACGCCCAGTTATTTGTGCATATAATTTTCCTGGTTAGTACTTGTTTGATTGAACTCTCTTTATTATTCTCTAATCACTTAATTATATTTCCTAACATCATGAATTTACAGCCGTTGTTCTGACCTTGGGGGAAAGTCGATGGAATGATTTGAAAGAGACTTACGTTTCTTTAACGCAAGATATACAGGTTTGAAGGAAATAATTATCGACAATATTATTGTCAATAACCTATTAATATAGTGTTTATCATATCTTTCAATAAGATTAAAGTGCGTAGGTCTTTAGCTTGTTCGCTTCACGAAATTGCGAAGGTCATAGGTCCAACAAAGACCAAAGAGGATCTGTTAAATGTTTTTGCATCTTATTTGGATGACATAGAAGTTAGATCTGGTCTTATAGAGCATCTTGCTGCGTTTATCGAATGTTTGCCTCAATCTACTCGAAATGACTGTTTGCCATCATTAAATAGTGTATGGGACGGAGTCAGGAATCAATGGCGACTGAGAGATGAAATTACAAGGTACTAATCGAGCAGCGTAATGTGTATTTCACTTTAAAAGTTTAGAGTTTAACAAACCTAATCGATTTTACAGACAAATTCCTGCTTTGTGTCGATTGTTTGATGAACAAAGTGTGATAAATCATATATTACCATTAACTATAAGGGCAGTCAAAGATTCGGTGGCTAGTGTTCGAGAGACTGCAGTTGCTAGTGTAAGTTATAATTGAGACGGTTTCTGCTTAGATTTCTTTTTTTTTTTTTTTTAACTTTCTTTCAGTTTCCCACTCTTTTTGAAGTTGTGCGTAACAATGAGTCGTGCCTTCAAGACTTGATAAATCGAGTTTGTGAATTCTGCTCTGAACCTGGATTTCGAGGCCGAGTAGTGTATGTCAAGTCGAACTATTTTACTTAATCATTATTCCGCATTCAAATATATTAATCATTCTAATTTCCACCGAATTAGGTACGTGCAAATATGCAGTGCGCTTATTAACGCCGAATTTCCGGAAAATGATTTTTCACGATATTTCTTGCCGGGACTAAATCAACTTTCGAAAGACAATGTGGTGAATGTAAGGATTGCTTTAGGAAGACTAGTTGGAGAACTATGTAGACTTGGTGTGTATTATATTTGTCTTTATTTAATAGTGCAATGCGAAGTTGTAACTGATCTGTCTATGATATTCTTAAATCGCCAAATTACGAATGCTAGGGTTATATTATCAGGATCCTGCAAGTCGGTCATCACAAGTAATTGACATGATACACATTCTTTCCCAAGACTCTGATGTTGATGTACGCGGATTTGTACTTCCTTTACTGTCTTCTGGGAAAAGGTCGAAATTCATGTCTTCCACAATACAAACGATGTCAGAAAGCACCGAAAATAGCTATGACCCTATAAAAGATGAGCTGGATCGATCTGAAGTGGTTGGACAAAATTCCCTCAAGTCTGCCGAAACATTACCTTTGACAAAAGAAATTATTGAAGAATCGAACTCGATTAAACCGTACGATATCGAGAATGGTCGTGACGAAGACTCGCTGAGTGTAATTATGGGGGAGATTCCAATAACATTCTTAAGACCTAATAATGCAATCGAAGTACCATCATCTTCGCCCCCCATTTAGAATAAGATGTTGATTAACGCTTTTCAGAGAAAATGAACTAAATAAAAAACTTCACGGACATTAATATTTATTGAATTTGCGAATCCGTCTGTCATGTAAGAAAATGATAAAGATTCACTAGCTAAAAGATTATTTAGGTTATTTTGGTCGTGAATGTGGCTGTTTATTAGCTTAATATATTTTTTTTTTACCCTCAATGTATATAGAAATAGCTTTATAATTACTTCATAATAATACGTACCGTTAATTCAAATTGTATATCTGCAATATTTTATAATGGATTATCAATTTCTTATTAATATATTGATTTTTATTAAATAGAAATTTTAGAAATACTGTATTTGTAAGTTTACTGAAAAATTATATACAATATATACTTATATTTGTATATTTGAGAACGTAAATATTATGTTTTATTTGTATTAAAAAAATTTTTTTTAATAATATTTTATTAGGTCAATTGCATGTTTTATTAAACAGTAGTAAACTATACATATATTTTTATGAATCATTAAAGTTAAATTAACAACTAACTTACTTGTCTTTATCAATTAATTCCAAATTTAACTTTGAAAATAATTTGTTATTTTATTTAATGTTAAATTTTTTGAACTAATTGATTTTAGATTTCAAGTTTTAAATTAAAATTCAATCAAATTAAATTTTAAATTTTAAAATTAATCAAATCAGATTTAAATTTTAAAATTTATTGAAGATAAATCAATTTAATAGCTTAACTATCTTAATATCTATATTTAATAGTTATTTAAGATAAATAAAATAAAAAAACCCATATATATATTTTTATAATCTTATTTATTTTTTTTAATTTTATTAAAAATATTTTTGTTACAATATTATTATATTACTTATTTATAAAAATAAAATAGAATATAATGGTTTTTTAAATAATTTTAATAATATAAATAATAAAAAAATTGATTTATATAACTATTTTTTTTTTTTTTTAATCCATATCATTTTATTATGGCATTTCTTTATTGAAAAATTAAAATATCTACAATATTACATGGACTATTCATATGATAACTAACTTGTTTTTGTACATTATTAATTAAAGAACTATACTACTTAAAAAATATAAGGAGTTCATTAAACTAATTTTAACCAAATAAAACAAAGTCTAAGTTAAATACTTTAAGATATATTTAAGAAATAATATTATACTTCCTTGATAAATTGATTATGATCTTTATTTACTAGAATCATTACCTACAGTTTATCACTATAGATTATTCTAAAAAATAATGAATTGTTAAATTACATACTAGAAAAGAGAAAAAAAAAAGAAAATAATTCAAAGCCCTTTAAAAAGTTTTTATTACTAGTTGAAATTATGTTATTTGATAGCTGAATTATTGCTGAATTTGATTAAATTTAATACTAAAAATATTATCAAATTCTTTTCAATTCTATCACTTGGCATATTACTATTTCAACAATAAAGTGACAATAAAAAATTTAGTAATCAAAAATTCAATAATCAAAAAATTCAGCAATCAAAAATTAATCAATTAAAAATTTAATAATAAATTATCAAAAATTCATTAACAATTCATTAAATAATTTATTAACTATTTAAAAAAGTTTATTACAAAATTATTTATTAGCAATTTAATAAAAATTTGATATTAAGACTTATGGATTTATAGCACAGTAGTAGTGTTCTCAGATTAAAATTACAAGATCTGAAATTCAATATTATACAAAGATCATATGAGAAAAATAATCAGATTATATAAGAATAAGGCTTCTGGCCTTCTTGTTGATCACTAGATTAAAAATAGATCTATTGTGAGAATTGCATAAAAAAAGGTCATTGGTTTAGTTACACAATTTATGCCTATATATCCCCTGAACTGGACAGAAAATAAAAATTCCAGGACCTCACTTTTAAGACTGCAGTAATTATTTGAATATTATATAACCCCCTAACCTAATAGCTTCTAGGATCCCATTCTTCTAGCTCAGGATATTTTAATTTGATACTTCACTTAATTGAAAGTCAGTTAATAAGAATAGATTTAATGTCACAGGTAAAAATAGATCCCTAAAGAAGGAAGCAAAAACAAAAATCAAATGTCCCTTACTAAGAAAAATTAAAATTTTTAAATGAATAACTATAAAAAAACTATTCACAATTGTTTTTTATTATTCAAATAATTGATTTATAGCATTTTCTAACTTTTGTTTCTATTAAAGTGAAGAGCTATAAATTTTGTTTCTAAAAAAGGAATATAAGTGATCTGTGAAATTTTATATACTAAATATTTTAGAGATCCATAATTAATCACAAGTGGTAATAAAGAAGGTAACATGCCCTCTTCTAAGGTCTGAGTAAATAATATTTGGAAGTATTGGAGAATGTATAATTTCTATAGGTATATATGTAAAAGAACTAGTTTAGTATTCATAAAAAACTCTTTCTACTGATTCTCTGACCACATACAAAAAAGATGTTCGCAGGAAGTTTTATACTTCT